GCGGGGTGGGGAGTGCTGCTGCAATGAAGGCACACTTGGCCATGGCATTGCTCAGCATTACTGGTGCCGCTGGTTGGGGGGCACAGTGTGCCAGTCCTGGGCTGGGAGGGGGTTAAAAGGCAGCCCAGCAGCAAGCTATAGGTCTCTGTTGGACTCAAGTGGGCCCTGGGACATTCCCGTGGTGCTGGTGAGTCTCAGCTCAGCCAGCTGGCAGCCCTGTGACCCCCGTCCCACCCCCTCCTGCATGCTGGGGTGATGGCTGCAGCACACGAGCCACCGAGTGATTGCCTCGGGAGAGCCTTGAGCTCAGCCTCTTCCTCCCAACCCCAAAAAGCACCCTGTGGGACTCATGGTTCCCTGCCCAGGTGCCCCCAGGGCTGCCCACAGCTCAGCTGCTGCACTCACTGTCTGCTCCAGGGGCATCCGGGGGGAATGCTGGTGGCCTCTCTCCGGGTGGAAGCAAGTGCCTGCGAGTGGCACCGTGTCCTCGGGAGCTCGGGCTGCTGGTCCAATTGCCCTTGGCTGCCCTGCTGTAGGAATGTGCCAGAGGTCTGTACCTTCTCGTGATTTATTGCTATGACCGTGCCTTGAATAAAATGACTTCACCCAGCCACTACTTGGTGTTGTCACTCCTGCGCATCCTGCCTGGTGCCAGGAGAGGGGAGACCCTTGCTGCTGGAGCCTGCGGAAGTACCTCAGCCCCTTTCCCCACCTCCAGACTCATTTTGACCCTTCCTGGGTCAAGGAGGCTTCAGTGACAGGAGGAGGAGACAGGTGAGGAGACTGCTTGGACACCTCCCCAGCTCCAGGCACCTTGCTGCCCACCATGCTCCTCACAAAAACAAACCCCAGCGAGTGGGCAAAAGCAGCAAAGGCAGGGCAGAACCCCACCGTGTCCCCTCAGAATAGCTGGCACAGCCCCTTGGCACCATCCCCAACGCTGGGGACAGGGTGCAGCCCTGGGGCAGGCGTGTGCCTCTCTTGCCTGTCCTCTGCCAGTGCTGGCCCCGCAGGCAGGGCTGCCTCAGGACACCACCAAAGGGGCACGCGCTGCCTGGAGGGAGGAGGAGGGTGGTCTGGACCTCCTCTAGGACCACAGCAAGGAGAAGGGGCAGCAAAGGGGCCCATCCCATCTGGGGATGGAGAAGATGTTCCCAGAGCTGAACTGCCCACCAGCAAGTCCCAGGAAAGTGGGCTAACACATTCTGGGAGCCTTTCTCTGTTTTGAGCAAACAGTGCTCTTTCGCTCCCCTCCTCCCTCCCAAAATGCACTTTTTACACCCAAATTCCTACTTGAATGATTTGCCTCTGGTGTCAGCAGGTCCCTCCTGCCAGCCCCTCCACAACTCCCATGGGGTGAGCCCTGCCCAGCCAGCCTGGCTTATGGCATGGGGCAGGGGGCACAGGGAGGGCTTCCCCTTGAGTGAAAAACTGGAAAATTTTAAAAATCCTTCCTCTCATCACACACCCCCACAGAGGCACCCCCATGGTTCATAATTAGTGATAAACGGGGCTAAATGCAGGGCCTTGCTGGCACCGGGGAGCGGAGGCAGGAGCCCCGGCTGTGAGCAAGGGCTGTAATTGCCCCCCTGGCTCAGAGCCCTGCCAGCCCTCGCACCGGGGAAGCTCATCGCAGCCTAACGAGGCTGTGTAAGGCCTCCAGGCTGTGCCTCCGCCACTGCCGCCCTCGCAAACCCACTCGCCT